GCTGTTTCTTTTGTCAATTTTAATTGATCGCCGAGCCTTTGCCCGTCAAATTTTAAAATCACTGTGGTTTGAAGCAGTTGGTCAATTCAAGTAGCGTCTTAGAGCAGCTGCCCGATTACTGGGTGTTTTAAAAGATTCTTCTGATAGAAGGAACTTCGTAGGTTTTGGAGCTGATTTTAGAATTATCTTTTGGGCAATAGAAGTGAGTGTTTCAGTAAAAGTTTTGATTGGGTCGTCGAGGTTAGTAAATGTTTCTGTGGTAAGCTTTTCGTTGCACATATGTTAGAATTAGACCCAATCTGCTTTGTGCACATTCCATCAAGGTAGAGGGTCATCAAGAGGAGTTCCAATATTTTTAAGAAAAATTGGGAAGTGGTTACTTCCAAAATGATCATTATTTACCTTCCAGTCATAATCAAGTAGAATGGAAGGATGGCATAATGACAGATCAATGTGGGTACGGGAGCATGTAGCAGGGTGTAAAAAGATCGGGGTATTGTTGTTAAAAAGGCACAAGTTGTTTTTATCTATAAATTCCTCAATACGTGTTCCTCTCTCGCCCCTCAGGCTATTATGACCATTAAAATCACCGATATTATGAATGGTGTTAAGAGTTGGGAGACGATGTTATTGAGTTGCTCACACGTGAAAACAATACTCAGAGGAAGATGAATTGAACAGACGGTTATTTGTCTGTGTAATATTGCACAGCCAGCAACAGCCTGTAAATTTGTGTTTAACTTGATCATTCTGTGAGGATTATTTTTATGTACAGCTACAGCTGCACCACCTGCTGCTTTGCTACCTACAGTTGGAATGTTATTGTAGAGTGAGAAATTTCAAAGAGTGATTGGGTTTTTGTGCATGATTTCTGGTAGACAAAAAATGACGGGGTTAAATTCTTTTGATAGATTATGAAATTCTTCTATATTTGCCTTTAATCCGCGGATGTTCCATTTGATAATTGTATTGTTCATGTTTTCCTATTTTTACTGGATTTCGATGAAGTCGAAGCACGAAGCGTCGAGGCAATTCGTCTCCTTCTCATCATAGAGATCCACTAGGGCATTAAACCTGTGTGTCGGGTTTTCTGATCCTTTGCCCTAGTTGACAATCAGATCGGGGCCATCAAATTTGCCACTGGCTATTTTAATGTTTTTCTTATGTCTGTTGGTTGGTGATGTTGCATCTGACCTCAGTTGGGATCGAGGTACAGAGGATATGCAAACGCATATGTGCTCTAGATGGGCCAAGTTTTGGAGGGGGTTCTTCTGGAGAGGAAGGTGTTTTATAAACACTGTTGATGGGGGTGTCGTTTTTGGTTGTGAAACCGAGGAATATTTGGAGGTGAATAAACAACCCAAGCTCGACATTTTGATAACGAACCAGTGGTTTTATTGTAGGTAAATCTTACCCTGCAACGATACAAACATACAATACTTAACTACGTATACACATAACGCTATCGATACATATATAACATATACGAGTACAATCTGACAATTACCACTTAGCTGTAAAATACATACGTTTAACCGGGGATTATATAATAACAAATAATGAAATGGAAAAAGGACATATACTATTTCCTTATCTATTAGTTACAATATGGATTACAATTTACCTTTACACATATATTATAAGTGTATGGCCTTTTGGCATTTACTGTTGACGTTACTCATAAACGGTGAAAACTATTCACGGACGTACACTATGACGGGACATTCAAAAGGATAAATACATATTGGGATTATTATGACTTATAATGAAATAATCACCTCTGTGTGGCCAGCTCATGTATTACTCTGTAGACATCTTCAAGTCTGTAAACATTAACGATACAAAACATAAGATATGGAATATAAACACAATCGTACCGGCCGGTGTAATGGCGGTCACTCAGGTAAACCCAGCGTACCCACACATACATGTTTTATTTAAGGTTCAGATAAAGTCATATTTGTTCTAAGTGTTTTTCACCATAATTACATGTAATATCAAATAAAGTGGGACAAAATGTTTATCAATGTTTTCCTTGTGATCTAAGGAACACAATGCACACAATAGAAAACCTTTTTGGCTGCTGTAGAAGTTTGTACTTACCTATGCCTTCACAAAAAACTGCCAACTTCCTTTGTGTTGCTTAACCTACGAAAATAGAGATTATTATTATACTACACAACTAATGTGAGGTAGTAGGACACTTGGATGTAACTTTATGCTCTTTCTTACAATTTTATTGATAAATTAAAAAATGTGTTTATAAAATTCATCATTAATATTGGCGGCCATATTTGACTTGTTGGAACTTCTTTCACAAAAGTATGGAAGCCAAGTGTGTGAAAACTAAGGGAGATAATTTGCTTTAAAAACAAATTACCATTAATTCTTGCCATTTTAATTGGGTTTAAATTGCTTTCCCAGCATACGTTAAGCGCATTTCTGTGGTTTTTCGAAAAACAGATGTTATATTTTTGTTGACTTTATGTAGACATTTAGATATGGACATTGATTATTTACCTCAACAATCTATAAACTTCACATTTCCATCTTTAAAGACCTGCTGCAGATTATCAACTGCATATGGCTGATCATCATCATCGTACAAAATTTCATACTCTGCTTTGGGGTCCCCGTCAGAACCAGATAAAACCGTTAGAACGTTTCCTTAGAACCACTTTCTTTGGCCACTACCTTCATCACTAATCCACAAATGAAATATCCGTCTGCCGACAAATTTTGTTCTTCCTCTTACACTTCTGAAATGACAAATTAGGAGTGTTAAATGAGCTTTAATAGTAGTTGAACATTTTGTTATCAGCATATTTCTGATTTTGGGTTTAATGCCAGAAGTGGACGCCATCGGTTTGTTGTTTCAACCCATTACAGGTTTATTAAATACACATGCCAGTTTCAATGGTACACGAAACAGGCTATGACTACGTGGAGTAAACACCCTTGCAGGATAACAGTTAACATTTTCACTACATACCTGAAAAATCCATTTACAAATTGTGATTTGTTTAGGCCATACAAAGTTAATTACGTGTTTCTCAGACCATACAATTTCAAAATAGATGAGGCAGGCAGGTATTTTATTCTTCATTTTCGCTCTTTTAATCAAGTAATTAACTTTGTGTGGCCTTAGGTGGCTATGAGAGGTTTGCAGTCATCAGCAGTTGAAGCTGTTTCTCACTGTAGCAGTACGGACAGGGTCAGAGTGAAGATAGATAAGTATAAATGATATCAGCTCTTCAAAAACTCAACAATAATATCTTCATAGTTGCTTACCTTTTCACGCTATCTTCCTCTGATTTCTTACATACAGTCTCTGCGGATATGTTTTGCTGCCTCTTTCCACTGTTTTGCTGCCTATTTCCACTGTTTTGCTGACTCTTTCCCCTGTTTTGCTGCCCTTTTCCACTGTTTTGCTGACTCTTTCCACTGTTTTGCTGCCTCTTTGCAGTGTTGCGCTGCCTCTTGCCAATGTTTGCTGACCGACTGGTTGAACCGCTTGCAGTATCTTGATACTGAAATGATATGAAGAAAAAATTGATATAATACAAAAATGTGCTTGAATTTGTTTGTCGCACTACTGTATTTTATACCATTTTAATAATATGCTTCATGTAGTGCATGATCAAGAGCTTTACAACCATGCAAAAACCTTTCTATTGTCTAATATTAGCACTGCAGTTGTTGCGCTAATTCAAGATTAGCGCTAAAATTACTCCAACCTGTAAATAGATAGCCTTCAAGGATATGTGCACCAATTTAAGCGTTAAACTCTGATTGCGCTAATATAAGTACATATACAGTAATTGAAGTATGATTTTATATCTAAACATACCCAAATTCCGGGTTCTCTTATGCCTGGAATTTTATTTTCCCGAGGTGATGACAATTCCGGTAGTAGAGCATTGTAGTAGAAAGCTGTGAGTTTTGGAAGGATGTGATCATTCCATAAATCTGTGTCTCTATATATGCGCTGAATGTGCATCTGATAAGGGTTTACTGTACGCAATACAAATCCAATCCAAGGAAGTTCTGTTACACCAAGTAAACCTTGACATTGGTAATAATAATCATGAGATGTTTTCAGTGTCAATTTGCTGTCTACTATAGATAAACAAACATTCTTCCTACTTTCAACTGCCTGATTCTGATTGATAGGTGCTGAATGTAACACGTTTTTTTTATTTCAATCAGCCTTGTTTCACCACCAATTTCCTTCACCCTGCCATCTGGACTTCCACCTAGGAATTCATTTTTACAACATATCACCAATCCCATGTTGCTCACTTGTACATTAACACCCTCCTCGGCCCTCTTAAGAGTATACTCATGTACAGTTATCCTTTCCTGTTGGAGTCCTTTCTGCGTATGTGCATTTCCACGGAATGTTCCGTAAAGCAGTCGTCTTACTCATGGAGTGATAGGTATATTTGGTTTCTGAAAAGATGCTGTGATTCATTTCCTCCTCTCATCCTGCCAAACTTTCGATATTAATTGTTGTCGTGTTAGTCTTTCTAAAGCCTGTATTTTGTTGTCCGAAATGTTTATGTGTTTGTTGAGAAACGTTGTTTTTGTCAATTCCAATTCTTCTACAGATACATCATCTACCACATCAATTGCTTCAGCACCGTATGCCAACCTTGCCTTTTTAGCAGTGCTTTCTCTTACCAATGCCATTTTCTTTTTCCATCTAGCCGCACTAGTTGCTGGCTTCTGTTTCACCTCTGTGTTAATTTGGAGCTGCCGTTTCCGTGAACTGTACAATTTGTTGAAGTGGTATCCTGGGGAGGTGCAAGTTACTTGCTGCCATGTTATTGGTGACCATTCTGGACCCAAGTTCATCCTAAGTGATCCTCCATAACATCTGGTGTGCAATGAGCCCCTGTTGCAAATGTTATACAGTTTACCCCCATCAAATTTTGATCTAACAGGCATCCAGCATTCTGCTAAATTTGTTGTTACATTTCCAAGCAGTCATTCACTTTTGGAGGCAATCCGATCCAGAAGAATACATATATCCTGGCGCATCTCTGTGTCGAGGTCCTTCAAACATGTCCCCAGTCTAGATTGCTCCTGCGACTCTATCGAGCTACCATCAGTCCACATTTTTGCTTGCATGGCCCAGACATCAGATTCATCATCATCATCATCATCATCTTGTACATCCTTATTCACAGAACCCTATACACCTGGTTCTACTTGTGGTCTTACTTTGCAGAAATCATAACAATTTTTGTGGTCTCCAAAGATGTGGTGAATGCTGTTCCTGATGTCATGGCTAACAACTTGCTGGCTTGGTATTTGTTGGTGGTATAGTTCTGGGAACGCATTCTGATGGCACACCGTACGGCACTTACTATTCTCACTCTGGTTGCCTTTGTAAGTTGATCCTTTCCTTTGTACTGTGGATTACTGTCTACCAGTTTCTCTAGATTTGACCTCAAACCTTTGCACATATGATTTGCACATTCAACTTTCTCTACCTTGCTTCCCCACACCAGCACATCTTGTCTTATTTTCGCAAATACTGAGGAATCCCCATCTGCAATTAGTTTAGTGTATCTTAAACCGTGGATCTGCTCGGCTTTCCTAAAACCCTCCACAATTATGTCTGCTTCCATAGCCTGCGAACTCTGATCCCAATTTTTGAAACATTTGGGAGGCTTTGGAATGATCTGTTGATTGGCAGCGTGTGCACATATATAGCAGTGTTTACTACGGATTGACAGATGCAAAATACGTCCAGTTTCTTTCCCAATGATAACCCCTGCACCACCTAGGGCATTATAACTATGCTTGTGACTTCGCTTACTCCATCCACCATCCGCGATTACCGTAATACATGGTACTCCGTCACAATAGTCACCTTTCTCTATGGCTATCCGTCTTTCCTTTGCTCCTGCTGCTAATCTTTCTTTTTCAAATTCTTTCTCCCACAAATCTCCAAACTCTTGTTCTATTTTGGTAAAAACTGGCTGGGAAATACTAGGGGAATCCATGGTAGCAAGTATTTCGCTCAGACGTGAAGCCCCATTTCCAGTACAGATACTTCCCCACACAGCTCGCACATTAACATCATGCCTGTATGTAGACCTGCAGCTTCCCTCACTATCACTGGCATTCATATTCAACTTGAGACTAGTTGCAAATGTAAATCTTTCCTGGCAATCTTGGCATTTCAACACTAAAACTGAAGCTAATCCATAAGTGTTTGCTTCACTCATTATGTAAATAGGTGACTGACCTTGCTGTACTAGGTCCCGGGCTGCTTCACACAACACACTATGCTTTGTAATGTCATTGAAAGTATTCTGAAGACAATCCAAGTTTATTATCCTGTAGCCATTTGTATTCATGTCTTTTACAGTACTTATTTTAACTTTGAAATGTTCATTTGGCAGTTTCTGTATACGGTATTTTACCCCACCGACATTTGGATTTTTCAATGGAATAAAAGTACGGCGCTGTGGTTGATGATATCTTATAACACGACGTCGACTAATACGCATGGACAAACTAGTATTTGAAAGAAAGGCTCTATAGGAATATCTTGGGCGACCTACTAACAACGACCTCCGGGCAATTCGCTGCTTGGTATGCTTTCCACCAGCAACTCCAAATCTCCCTATTGATTTCTATTGTTTTTTTACAGCCACGATGAAACACAAATGTCTGTCAATAATCTAAATAACCTCATGGTGTGATAGTTGGCCCGGGGTCCCCATTGTGTGTGTGTGTAATGGTGGTGGGCGATCTTAAAATGAGCAGACGGCGTGATTTGGGCACTCGCTGGGCGAGACCTGACAGACAGAGCAATATCTAGCCTACATCACGATTACGGGTAAGTTTTGGAGTTGCTTCGGTACTTTAGGCACACATGCTTCTTCCATGCTTCCATATAATGTTTACTTGATATTGAATGTAAAAATACTAATATTAATTATACCTACCTGTAACACCCTGTGTCATTTCACACCAAAAGTGCATTATGGTGAGCAGAATGTAAAAATAATTGGTTACAAAAGTTATAAATTCTAAAATTTCCTTAGAAACAGTGTCACTTCCTGTTGTCAAATTGACCACGATATCGCCTACAATAAACGTGTTATAACGATACTGTAAGGAACGATCATTGATTATATTAATATACAGTGATTAAACAAGTAATTCACACATTTGGCTTTACCTGATCACATTGAAAACCTCAAACATTCACCAATTCAGCATGTAGTATACTTATCGCTGTCGAGGTGAATAGCATGCGTGCTATGCCGGAAATACTTCCGCAGAAAGGAGTTCATGACAATTTGGTATCATAACACTTTTTCGATTAAAAAACTTAATTATATTTGCATGTTAATAAAATTATTTACTTCATTTATATCCACACGAAACATAAGAATTACTCTGCTGGTTATTAAATTATTCATATTCGGTGCGGAGCAAAATCTCTAGTTTCGTTTTTGTGAAACTACGAAGTGTTGAAGATTCCTGTTTAGGATGTTTGATTATGTCCAAGAAATCTTGAGACTGATATCTTGTTATGGTGTAAATAACTTGCAATTGCTCCCTATCAATACTAAGAAATTAATCAATTCAATATCATCACAGTTTCTCACACATAACAGTTTACATGAACCTTAAAATGATATAAATACCGTACAAATAATATCAGATACTACTCGCGGGAAATACCGCACGCCGCTCTGGAGAAAGGACAAATAAAAAAGATCGACAGGTTAATTATAAATCGAGAAATCGAGTGTATACCTCACTTATATTCTTGTCAGTCGTCGTTGTCGTCGCTCTCTCATCTACCTAGTCATACAAAGGTATCGCGCGCCAACCCCAATAGCCAATCAGATAATAGATATATACTAACGTCACACTACTGACCTCTATACCGGACATGTTATTATACAATAATTATTATACAACATTACAACTAAATTTCATGAAATTCAATCCTGCCACAGTTGTTTGTGAGGTTTATTGGTTTTCGTTTTGGTCGTGAAACGGGATGGATCTCACGTGATGATTCTCAAGTTCTGTTGGCCAGCCATGTCTGGGATTTGTGAGCCCCAAGCAGGTCTGTCCTCAGATACTTGAACCGAAGCTTCTTTGACTGTGACATTGTCAACCGGCGACCGGACTTTAGTCACGTGTGCATATGAGGGTGCAGCTACGTCTGTGCTCTCAAATATCCTCCTAGCCTCGGGAAAGGAGACACTCTAGAGTATATTTGACCCGCAATATCTCTCTTTCGCGATTCCAGGCAGGACAGTATCGAGACGAAGCAGCATGCTTTCCTTCACATTTGATACAACGCAGGTTGGCAATATCACAGTCGCTTTGGTCCTCATGACCTTCACGACCACAATACTGGCGAACGGTCTTCCACCTACATCGTGCCCGTACTTCTGACAGTTACGGCATCTGAATGAATTATGGATGTAGACGGAGGCAGTGCACCTATGGTAACCAATCACTACGGCCGAAGGTAATGATGGGGTAGCAAAGGTCAGCACAAACGTTTCTGTTGGAGCCAACTTGATGTTCTTCTTGGACAAAATCCGTCGCACCTTGGAGACTGGGATCTCCTCCTCCTCCTCCTGGAAGTACTCCAGTATGGCGGCATCAGCGTCATTGCGCAGGGCAGGGCATCTGAATAACCCCCTGCTGCTATTCAGTGATGGCTGGGATTTCACTATAACGCTGATCCCAAAGGTTTGACGGACTTAACGTCCCCAGCTATTCCTTTTATTCCCTTCCTCAACAAGAGATGAGACAATGCAGCTGCTGTTTTTCCGATAGTGGTTGACGACATAATGATGAACTGTGGAAATGTGGTAGTTGTAGGGTGGGTTTTTTTACTCGGTTTTTTTCATTACCCGTGTGTGTGTATTAATTAGTTCGCTATCTGTGTCACCGCCCACCCGGAGCCCAACAAGGGGACATTAATATCAGCGCGGGTACCCGTTAACTTGGTTGAAGATGTTTGGTTAAAGGCCCTTGATGATAATGACGACGAAAGCCCAACATCGGCGGGGGGCCAGCAGATGATGCAAAAGGAGGAAGTATAGACAAATCGACTCGCACCTTGCACAATTGAAAGATAGATTTTGCAATGGACACAAAGGTATTTATGAACATGCTGACGCTGCATCCCATTTAATACACTTGGATTAACTTTGTGATTCAGTTGAAAGGATGAGGATGATACTAGAATTCCTATTGTGCTTTGTTGAAAAAATTGTGTTATCCCATGTGCCTATGATTTTATCCGGAAAAAAAAGACAGTTTTCTACCAGAACCAACTTTAATGGAATTTCATTCAATGTGAAGAATGAATATAATAATATTATGATAAAGTGTTTAAAAATATGAAGTGGACAATGAAGAAAAATGATAATATTAAAAGGAAGTATATAATTCATTTATTTCTAAAAATACATAGTTATTTGTGATGAATTGTTTAATTTATCAAAGTGAAGAATTAATAGGTATGTATTAAGGATGATGTGTATAATTTATTACGTGTAAGTTTATGATATATAGCAAATGACGGATAGTTATTTTATGATAAAGTGTATGATTTATGAATGTTTATAAGATGAAATATATATATACAAAATATATACGAAGATAAATAAATATAAATTAATAGCAACGATCATTGTTGTGTTATTCATGTTAAAGTAAAGGACATATATGATACAGACTATAGTTTACCTGTAATTCAATCATATTGCATAATACCAACTGTACGCTACGTGAGACGACACCGTGTTACACAGTCTTACCCTGTTGTAGGCCATGACCCATTACGTAATAGCTTACACCAGCCCCACTCAGATTCAGATTCTTTATTAGCCGAGAGCCATACGACTCAAAGGCGCATCAGTAGTACAAGTACATATAGCATACAAGTATACAAGTCTGAAACACACACACACACACTCCCGCAACACTTGAACACATTAAGGGTTTTCACGTTTCCTCGTAGCATAGTATAGGTATTTCCCAGTGTTACATAGTTCTTTGACATTATTTACACTCAAAAGTTTTATCAATTTGAACACACTTGGATTTCTTTAGTAAAATTCTTTTACATATCTAACCCTTAACTCTTTATAATATAAACACTTCAATATGAAATGAAATTCATCCTCTACTTCACCGTCATTACATCTGTTACACAATCTATTTTCTCTACCAATATTTCTACGACGTCCAGTCTCTATATTAAGATTATGCGCAGATAATCTAAATCTAGTAATCATACGTTTATATTTTTCTTTAATAGGCTTACATAAATGATTTTGTATACCAAAATTATCAGTAAGATGTTGGTACAAAAATCTTTTAGATGAGTTTTTAATTCTACTAAGCGTATCTTGTTTATTTACGTCTAATAACCTTTGTTTTATTACATTATATGCAGTAGATACAGGTAAATCATTTTCAAACAAATACTCAACACCTAGAACCGTCAATTCATGCTTTATATTACCCATCCAAATATCATTTTCACTCACACACTCGTCATAGCATGCCTTCAGAATAAAATTGTCTGTGCACTTTAGTTTTAACCAATATTCAATAGCTCTTAATTTTCTAGTAACTAACAATGGTAATCATTACTTGTACATTTTTTCCTACTCCTAAAATGTTCTTACAAAATGCTAAATGTACCTTCTCTATATCATATGCATTATGGAATCCCCATATTTCTGATGCATAACCAAGGATACCACTAATATATGTATCAAAAACAGAACAAAGCGTTTCTAAACTTAAAGAATAGTTTCTTACAGAGGACATAAGTGAAAATAAAGCCTTTCTACCCTGGTCTGCTAAATGTTTCTGAAGTTTGACGAATTTACCATTATATTTCATCAGAACACCTAAATACTTAAACTCGTCAACAACTTGAAGTGGTTTGTTATCATGTGTCCACCGTTCGTTGTTTTTGAAATTTCCACCATTTCTAAATACTACATATTGGTTTTATCTATATTTACCTCCAGATTCCATTTTTTATTGTAAACACTCCGACTATCCAACATTGATTGTAGTCCTTCTGGAGTTTCAGCAGATAACACCATATCGTCCGCATACATTATAAGAAATATATTGATCAATTGTATTTCAATGCTGGGACAATTATCCTTAATAAAATGAATTTCAAAGTCATTTACATATAAAGAAAACATTATCGGTGACAATATGTCCCCTTGTAAGAGACCTGACATGTTAGGGAAGCATTGGCTATACTTTCCATTGTATTTAACGCACTAGCTACACTAGGCATACGTACAGGCACTGTACAAATGGCGCTATTTTTAACTTGTCAACAATGAGTCTCCGTAATCACTTCGCACTTAAAGTTTCAAGTTGTATTCGAACTTTAGGCCATTGACCATCAGTATACATATAATACACAAATCATGGACAATGCACAGAGAATGAAGACAATCATATTCCATTATAATACCCTTAATTTGTTTACCTCGTAGATGAATTTTCATAGTACACACAATTCTTTAATAGTATATGAACACCCAATAACTGGAGGACTTTAAACAACGTTTTTTTTTTATTCCAATAATACCTTTTTTTTTNGGGGGCTAATGTAGTCAACCAGGCGTCGGCGTCGTCGTCCCACCTTCTGAGGTTAAAGTTTTTGGGCAAGTTTTTATATCGAGTGTAAGCGATGTGCTGGACCATATTTTCATATGTTAGGGGCAAAAAACAGCTTAATTGGACTTTGTGAATGTTTTTTGGTAAGCTTGAAGTTAAAGTTTTTGGGCAAGTTTTTTGTGAAGTGTTTGATCACCACCATCAATGGACTGTTGTCTATAATAAGGTTGAAGTATTTTTATGGAGTGTAAGCAATGTTCTGAATTGTATTTTCATTACTTTAGGGGCCAAAAACCTGTTAGTTGGACTTGGTTAAAGTTTTTAGGCAAGTATTTTTGTGCAGTGCTGGATCGGTCACCACGACCAATACGCTGTTGACTTAATCACGTTGGCTGGTCATATCTTCTTACATGTTAAAGTACAGGAACATCCCGTTATATTTCCATAATTTTTTCGAAGAAATGTTTGCATTATAAAGGGGTTTGGCGATAAATTGAGGGAACGTATAAGGAATTCTTAAGAAAAACATAACTAAGGGACCTGGAAATATGTTGGCGGTAAGTGAGGTGTGGCAAATGAAATGACTGGCATTATATCGAGGTTTCACTGTCCATTGGTTTCTATTGATATTTGTTATTTTACAACATAAATCACCAATAAGCGAGCTATGCTGTTCTCCCATCTACCATTTTCTTCAATTTTCCCCCACATGGAAACCCCCCTGAAAATTTGGAAACCCCCTAGATAGGTCTCTGGACCCGCCACTGCTCTCCCATGGTCACCAACTAATTAATATAATCCCTTGACCCTCGATCAGCTGTTCAAATGTGATTGTGATAGGTTTAAAGAGCCGTTAATCAGACTCTGATTTCCATTTTATCAGTGTCACAGGCACAGAACGCAATTTTATCTGTTTCAAAAGTGTTTTCATATTTCGTGTGACCAGTCTGACCATCAAGAAGTGCTCATGTTTCTGTGAATTTCATATTACGGAGAACAACACGGTGTGTGTAGCGCAGATACATATTAGCCAGTCATGAGTGTGTAGTATCATACCTGTCTGGTGTTTGGTGTATATAATCATTTTGTATCCAAATTAAGACTGATAATAATAAATTATGTCCCTGTTGTTATTTCTAGTGTCTTACCCCTGATTCAGCATTCATCTGTAAAATCGATGTTCACACGTCACACCTTGACTTAAAGCCTAGACTGACATGATTTACAGCCTAGACAGCCTTGTCCGGTTATCGGTTGTTTCCGCTACCGCTGTATGTATTAGTGTGAGGGTATGTGTGCGTTCACATGTCTTGCAGCAATGCACATATCTTGCAGCAGTATGCACTGTTATTGTTCAAGATGGATTCCGCTTAGACCCTGTCAGAGGCGTCTGCTCCGTTATCCGGACTTTGCTTGAGGAGCCATATATTCTGACCAACTGACCAGTACAAAGACAACTGGACACGCTGACCCCCTGTTGTTTGGCGGGACGGCGAGTAACCTAGCAAACAAAGTCAAATAGCTTTATACTGGGGTGATAGACGCCCGGAAACTGATTGGTGCGGAGTTAATATTGTTGTGAATCCAGAGAGGTGTTTTAAGCTCCTGGAAATCAATGGAAGTGTAAAATAAACACATAAGGTTGGTGCATTATGATTGAATTTTGATTGAATTGCATGTTAAGTTAAATTTGTAAATAAATTTTATCTTTTTTTTTTAAGTTAAAAGTGTAAATCTCCCAAAGTTCTTTGGTTCACATGAGCCTGTGGATAAGCGTCAAATTCCAAATTTTCAGGGGGTGGGATGCCTATGTGGGAACAAAATGAGAAAAAAAGTGAGAATGCATGATTTTTAAAGAAAAAATTTCTGGGTGTGGGGTGTGGCTGGTGTTTGTGAGTGTGTGTGTGTGTGTGG